TTTAGAAATAAGCACTTTAAACAACTCAACAATTGTTTTACGAAACTTGTAAAAGTAAATTGAAACTACTGCTAGTATCATGTTCCTGCTAAAGAAAGTGATTCAGAGATAGTATTTGTACTAAACCAAAATAAGACGCTCTTAACGGTACAGTTAATGATAAAGCAATTTAAAAAATAAAACAAACGTAATTTCTAAAGCTACTATAATAACCATGAAGCTAAATTTTACTGCTATTCAAAATCGTCAACAATAGATTTTTTACGGCTGTAATAGTTGATATATTTGTAGAGAATTGCACGTGCCATGGCTATTTATCGACTCAAAGAGAGTGCGGGGTAGTCAGAAATCAGTTCGAGACACGCAACTGAAGCGTGCACATTTAGCCGTGTCGAGACCAACTTTCTGTAGAGTGCACGGGTCACCCTACAAAATGGTTGAAACGCGCCATGGAACTTTCTTAATACGTCATACATGTCACATGATCAATATACATTTAGAATGGAGTTATCTCCCATTGTACAGTAATATGAATATTAACATGATAGCTAGACACCACATTTCCCCTCTCCTGGAAGAAATACAAAACTAGTAATACAAACTCATTTTGTACTGACAATGTAATATTTAAACCATACTGGTTTTGTTCTTACCCTAGAGCTTCTAACTCTTTCAGAATGGAAATTATTTGGATGGACAATGTTAGGTTCATTATTATTATTACAACCATAATCGTTATTTGCATTTGAGAACATATCTATAGCATTTTCCTCCTCTCTTTGAAAATAATTACCATAAAATGGAGATAAATGACGTACATTCCATTTCTGACCATTATCAAGTATAACAGTACTTTGACCAATTTTAAACGTAATTCGTAATGGATCCGTGTATTTACTTTGGCCCTTAGGCACATACCAAGGCTTTTTGATTCTTACAAGATCGCCTGGATTAAAGGTTCGAATGGTTGCTCCTTTACGAGTATCTGTGTAAAATTTACTTGAATCTTGTTTGATCTTAACACGCTGATCTATGTCAGAACTGGAAAGTGGAGTTGGATGTTGTGTAATCCCAATTATGTCAAGTAAAGTACGCATATATCGTCCGTGTAATATATTGGATGGGGATTCACCGGTTGTAGTATGTCGCGTTGCTCTATAAGTACCAAGAAATTTGGTTACAGCAGTAGTAACGTTTTTGTTTTCAAACCGAGCTGACTGAATAACTTCACTTAAAATTCGGTTAAATCTTTCGATTTCACTGTTACCTTGGGGGTGATAATTAGATGAAAATCTATGTGTTATATCCCTTTTACGCAGAAATTCACTAAATTCGCGAGATTGAAATTGAGGACCGTTGTCGGTTACAATTTCTTTCGGATAACCCTCGCGGCTAAATATGCGAATGAGGAATGCAATTGTAGTAGATGTAGTAATATTACGTGTAAAGGCAACTTCTGGCCATTTACTTCGGTAATCAATTAATGTAATCATGAATCTTTCGTGTTCAGGTGCAGAATAGTCTGGACCCACAAAATTAAGGCCAAGTTTCTCCCAAGCAGTGTCTGGAAGTTTAACGGGTTGCATAGGCGCTGTACGCGTAGTAGCAGACTTATCGTTATACTGACAAGTAACGCAATTCTTAATACTTTCGTTCACATGATAATCCATTTTAGGCCACCAACAGAGATCTCGTAATCTCTGCTTAGTTTTAACAATACCCTGATGGTCCGTGTGTGCTAACTGAATTAATCACGTTTGTAGTTCTGAAGGTACTATTACACGACTACCACGAAATATAATATTATCATAAACGGATAATTCATCGCGTATTGTATAAAATGGTTTAGAATCATGAACCGTATCTTTAGCTGAAGTAGGCCATCCATCGCGAATGTATGAAATTAACTGAGAACACGTAGGATCACTAACAATAGCTTCTTTAAGTTCTGTAGACTTAATAACTGTATCACTGGCTGAATGTGTAATGTTACAAACGGCGTCGCAATCTTCGATGATTGCTGGAGTTGACGTAATTAGAGGTAAACGACTTAACACGTCGGCCACTTTATTTTGAGAACCTGGTTTAAACTCAACCGTGTAGTTGTAATGAAGTAACCGTGTATTCCACCGTGCAATACGCATTGGTTTATGACCTGGGCCGGAAGTACCTAATAAAGCGGTTAGAGCTCGATGATCCGTACGTAATACGAACTTTCGACCCCACAGATATGTATGCCATTTTTCAACTGACCATACACACGCAAGCGCTTCACGTTCCCCGACTGAGTAGTTTTTTTCAGCCGGAGTAAGACTCCTAGACGCACAAGCTACAAGAACCTCTGCTCCGTTTTTTAATTGGGCTAGAACGGCGCCTAAGCCGTACGCGCTGGGATCGGTTGTAACGACGACAGGTAAATCAGGATCAAATAAGGAGAGGACTGGACTAGAAAGAATTTGATTCTTGATCGTTGAAAACGCTTTGTCGGCATCAGGTGTCCATACAAATTTATCGGCTTGCATAGCAGACTGTAGCGGTTGAATTACCATAGCGAAATTAGGAACAAATTTAGAATAGTATCCCGCTAGACCAAGAAATGAACGACATTGGTCCTTTGTAGAAGGAACGGGTGCTTCGCGGATAGCTTGGACAAGCTCCAGATTTGGACGAATCCCATCCTCGTCGCCAAATGAAAGACATATACTGTTCTGAGGATTACGATGGATTTTATTCATCATCCTTGACAAACTTACAACATGGTTGAAACGCGCCATGGAACTTTCTTAATACGTCATACATGTCACATGATCAATATACATTTAGAATGGAGTTATCTCCCATTGTACAGTAATATGAATATTAACATGATAGCTAGACACCACAACGTTCTCGTGGCTAGTGGTTGACGTCTGCTGGAAATACCTTTATTTGCGTCAGACCATATAGATCTGATTGGTTGATTGGTTATTATTTTGATTGACAGGGGCGATCGGTCTAGTTACTTTAGTAACGAAGTCTTAGAGGCCCCCCGTGCTCTCTCTTCATATAGGGGTCTCTAAGACTTCGTTACAAAGTAACTAGGAATAGGGTCGGTCAAACTATATACATGTAACTCACTCACTCAGCAAATATTTTTGACATTCAGTCACGTGGTCAACACCGATTATGAGATACTGCTGACTAAGACTTAAAAATCTTATTTTCTAAGCACACACGCTAATTATGCAGTGATTTTGAAAATTATGTCACTACAAAGACCATAGGGGGGAAGGTCATAATAATAATATAGTATATAGTTGCGTCCGACACACTACAATATCTCTAAAAACATCGTGGGGTGATCAGCGCAAAGTTGGCAATCTGCGCGCTAGCTTCATAAGCGCAGATGCAATCTGCCCGCGCGGAGTGCAATCTGCGCAGGATGACAGCGCAGATTGCAATCTGCGCGAGTGGTGAAGATTGCGCCTAACTTATATATTGACTGTGCTTCAACACGTGCCGTCATAGCACGCGGCGTCAATCATTGGCTGAATGCGCGTGAATTGTTTACCTAAGACGTTACTGCTTCGGGAAGAATGCTGCCTTTTAGTCATTTTTATACCCATTTACACAATAATAGGAAATATTTTTTACCTACAGTACAAATACTTCAAACGTCTTTATTTATTTTTCTAATACATCAAAAAAATGTTTTAGAATTTAATTTGTCGGTGGAAAAAAGTTAATATTTGAGACTCATTAAAGGACTTAAGTCCGTAACTCAAAATCTTCGACATCGAAAACACGAATTATTGGTCAATTTAAATCAACATTGATGATGTAAACTTACCGGGAAAAGATGAGCTTCTGATATCCGATATTTAAGATAAAATAATTTTTTTAACATTGGTACACGATTCGTGTACCATAATGCGCTTCAGCCCCAGTTGTATTGAGTGACTCGATTTACGAGGCTAGACACATTGCACCAAATCAAATGGAGTTATGTAGACTAGAATAACTAGACGCTAGAAATTTGCACTCGATTGAGATTTCTGACTTATTTCGCCGAACATATACATTCATATTACAGTATTATATGCGTTACGACCCACTTTTGTGAATTTCTAGGTCCCAAATGTTAGCGATTTAGCTCCTTTAAGTCGCATTGATGACATCCTTATCAGTGATCGTAGCGGCCTAGCCGTTTTACAATTATTATGACAGTGAGTTGCATTTAGCTAATCTTCAATGGGCGGCGTGTTTAAACTTCAGACAAATTGTGGCTAAAATCATAACGCCAAATAGTAATCAATTCTTTATTACAAAAACATCGATAATACTAATTAGACAAACAAAAATGCTAAAATCATAACGCCAATTAACAAACAATACAAGTATACTTCATTACAAAAGGTGAATATACTTTATTACAAAAACATCGTTAATACTAATCAAACAATCAAAAATGTTACATGCCCGTCTTCATTAGCCCAGTATAGGAGCAGAACAGTAGGACGTTAAACCCCATTTCATTTCATTTCATTTACAATCATAACGTCAATTAAAAGCGAATATAGCCTACCTTATTACACAAACATCGTTAATACTAATAAAACAATCAAAAATGCTAAAATCTAACAAAACAAACTAAAATCTAACATGAAAAGAAAGATCATACAATAATCCAACAATACGATTAACTTTATTACAAACAATACAAGTATACTTCATTACAAAACGTGAATATACTTTATTACAAAAACATTGTTAATACTAATCAAACAATCTGAAATCAAATAACATCGGCGTTTCGAGTACGAGTAAATTGTGTACGACTCTTATTCTTAGCTGTGGACGACATCGCCAATGCCTTGTGGACGACTCCACTAGAGTGTGGACGACTTCACAGTGGACGACTTTGCTTGTGGACGACTTCACTGGCACCCGCAGAGTGTAATGGTGTAACCGTAGAAACGACTGAAGTCATGTGATGTATATCCTCCAATTAAAATGGTTATCTGCGCTTCAGTATGGCGGTAACAATGCCGAAGTGTGGATAGGTGTCATTTTTTCAATGTAACAGTGTTGAGTGTGTAGATCTTGTGGCTTTCGTATTCGAGGTTAGTGGTAATATAGATTAGGCTAGATTTAGGCTACCCTCTATAGTAAAATTGGCGTGAAAATTTCTAAAAATACTTGATTCTTATTCATATCCTTACCCTTATCATTAGCCTACAGTCTACAGCATATAAATATAAGGCCACCGAACACAATTTGGCGACCTATTCGTCTAGCGACCTATTCGACCGATCCAGCTGGCAACCTGTTCGTTGGCAACCTATTCAGAATAAATTCAACAGTCGCCCAAACTCATCTATTTTTATCAACCAATCAAATCCAACGTTACGTCTATCAAATGAAAGTAGAATATTTAATTATTTACCCATTCCTTTAGCTCAGAATAGACATGTATTTTCGCATTATCTTACACAATTCTGGACATCCAACTAAATATATTCCGAAAGGTAAATAAATAAGCTTTCCAAATATTATTAGTAAAAGTTGGCACAGCCATATTAAAGGGATGCACTCTCATCCTAAACATGGCCAATTTTGAAAAAAAAATTAAACGGAAAGACTGTTAATGTTAATATCCCGTGTCAAAATTCGGACCATCGTACAAAATTCTGATGATCCAACTAAATATATCCTAAAAGGTAATTGAATAAGCTTTCCAAATCTTATTAGTAAAAGTTGGCACAATCATATTAAAGGGATGCGCTCTCAACCTGAACATAGCCCATTTTTCAATATTTTAAAGTGAAAGAACGGTAATATTCGGAGTCAAAATTCGGATCATCGTACAAAATTCTGAGCATCGGGCTATATATATTCTGAAAGGTAATTGAATAAGCTTTCTAAATATTATTAGTAAAAGTTGGCACAATCATATTAAAGGGGTGCGCTCTCATCCTAAACATCGTCCATTTTTCAATATTTTTAAAGTGAAAGAACGGTAATATTCCGAGTCAAAATTAGAACCATCCTACAAAATTCTGAGCATCCAGCTATATATATTCTGAAAGGTAATTGGATAAGCTTTCCTAATATTATTAGTAAAAGTTGGCACAATGATATTAAAGGGGCGCGCTCTCAACCTGAACATGGCCAATTTTTCAATATTCTAAATGTAAAGATAGACCTGTATTTTTTTCGAAGTCCATATTCGGATCATCGTACAAAATTCTGAACATCCAGCTATATATATTCTGAAAGGTAATTGATAAAGCTTTCTAAATATTATTAGTAAAAGTTGGCACAATCATATTAAAGGGGCGCGCTCTCAACCTGAACATAGCCCATTTTTCAATATTTTAAAGTGAAAGAACGGTAATATTCCGAGTCCAAATTCGGACGATCAAACAAAATTATGAGCATCCAGCTATATATATTCTGAAAGGTAATTAAATAAGCTTTCTAAATATTATTAGTAAGAGTTGGCACAACCATATTAAAGGGCCGCGCTCTCATCCTAAACGTCACCAATTTTTCAATATTTTAAAGTGAAAGAACGGTAATATTCCGAGTCAAAATTCGGACCATCGTTCAAAATTCTGAGCATCCAGCTATATATATTCTAAAATGTGATTAAATAAGCTTTCCAAATATACTTAGTAAAATATGGCACAATCATATTAAAGGGGTGCGCTCTCATCCTAAACGTCGACAATTATTCAATATTTTAAAGAGAAAGAACGGTAATATTCCAAGTCAAAATTCGGACCATCGTACAAAATTCTGAGCATCTAACTATATATATTCTGAAAGGTTATTGAAAAAGCTCTCTAAATATTATTAGTAAAAGTTGGCACAATCATATTAAAGGGGCGCGCTGTCAACCTAAACATAGTCAATTTTTCTAAACGTCGCCAATTTTTCAATATTTTAAAGTGAAAGAACGGTAATATTCCGAGTAAAAATTCTGACCATTGCACAAAATCCTGAGCATCCAGCTATATATATTCTGAAAGATATTGAATAAGCTTTCTAAATAATATAAGTAAAAGTTGGCACAATCATATTAAAGGGGTGCGCTCTCATCCTAAACGTCGCCAATTTTTCAATATTTTAAAGTGAAAGAACGATAATATTCCAAGTCAAAATTCGGACCATCGTACAAAATTCTGGGCATCCAGATATATTCTGAAAGGTAATTGAATAAGCTTTCCAAATATTGTTAGTAAAAGTTGGCACAATCATATTAAAGGGGCGCGCTCTCAACCTGAACATAATCAATTTTTCAATATTCTAAATGCAAAGATAGGCCGGTATGTTTTTCGAAGTCGAAATTTGGATCATAGTACAAAATTCTGAGCATCCAGCTATATATATTCTAAAAGGTAATTGAATAAGCTTTCCAAATAATATTAGTAAAAGTTGGCACAATCATATTAAAGGGGCGCGCTCTCAACCTGAACATAGCCCATTTTTCAATATTTTAAAGTGAAAGTACGGTAATATTCCGAGTCAAAATTAGAACCATCGTACAAAATTCGGAGCATCCAGCTATATATATTCTAAAAGGTAATTGGATAAGCTTTCCAAATATTATTAGTAAAAGTTGACACAATGATATTAAAGGGGCGCGCTCTCAACCTGAACATAGCCAATTTTTCAATATTCTAAATGTAAAAATAGACCTGTATTTTTTTCGAAGTCCAAATTCGGATCATCGTACAAAATTCTGAGCATCTAGCTATATATATTTTGAAAGATAATTGAATAAGCTTTCTAAATATTATTAGTAAAAGTTGGCACAATCATATTAAAGGGGTGCGCTCTCATCCTAAACGTCGTCTATTTTTCAATATTTTTAAAGTGAAAGAACGGTAATATTCCGAGTCAAAATTCGGACCATCGTTCAAAATTCTGAGCATCTAGCTATATATATTCTAAAAGGTGATTAAAAAAGTTTTCCAAATATACTTAGTAAAATATGGCACAATCATATTAAAGGGGTATGCTCTTATCCTAACCGTCGACAATTTTTCAATATTTTAAAGTGAAAGAACGGTAATATTCCGAGTCAAAATTCAGACCATCTTACAAAATTCTGAGCATCTAGCTATATATATTCTAAAAGGTAATTGAATAAGCTTTCAAATATTATTAGTAGAAGTTGGCACAATCATATTAAAGGGGCGCGCTCTCAACCTGAACATAATCAATTTTTCAATATTCTAAATGCAAAGATAGGCCGGTATTCTTTTCGAAGTCGAAATTCGGATCATTGTACAAAATTCTGAGAATCCAGCTATATATATTCTGAAAGGTAATTGAATAAGCTTTCTAAATATTATTAGTAAAAGTTGGCACAATCATATTAAAGGGGTGCGCTCTCATCCTAAACGTCGTCCATTTTTCAATATTTTTAAAGTGAAAGAACGGTAATATTCCGAGTCAAAATTAGAACCATCGTACAAAATTCTGAGCATCCAGCTATACATATTCTGAAAGGTAATTGAATAAGCTTTCCAAATATTATTAGTAAAAGTTGGCACAATCATATTAAAGGGGTGCGCTCTCATCCTAAACGTCGCCAATTTTTCAATATTTTAAAGTGAAAGTACAGTAATATTCCGAGTCAAAATTAGAACCATCGTACAAAATTCTGAGCATCCAGCTATATATATTCTAAAAGGTAATTGGATAAGCTTTCCAAATATTATTAGTAAAAGTTGACACAATGATATTAAAGGGGCGCGCTCTCAACCTGAATAAAGCCAATTTTTCAATATTCTAAATGTAAAGATAGACCTGTATTTTTTTTCGAAGTCAAAATTCGGATCATCGTACAAAATTCTGAGCATGTAGCTATATATATATTCTGAAAGATAATTGAACAAGCTTTCTAAACATTATTAGTAAAAGTTGGCACAATCATATTAAAGGGGTGCGCTCTCATCCTAAACGTCGCCAATTTTTCAATATTTTAAAGTGAAAGAACGGTAATTTCCGAGTCAAAATTAGAACCATCGTACAAAATTCTGAGCATCCAGCTATATATATTCTAAAAGGTGATTAAATAAGCTTTCCAAATATACTTAGTAAAATATGGCACAATCATATTAAAGGGGTGCGCTCTTATCCTAAACGTCGACAATTTTTCAATATTTTAAAGTGAAAGAATGGTAATATTCCGAATCAAAATTCGGACCATCGTACAAAATTCTGAGCATCTAGCTATATATACCGGTATTCTGAAAGGTAATTGAATAAGCTTTCCAAATATTATTAGTAAAAGTTGGCACAATCATATTAAAGGGGTGCGCTCTCAACCTGAACATTGTCAATTTTTCAATATTCTAATTGCAAAGATAGGCCGGTATTTTTTTCAAAGTCGAAATTCGGATCATCGTACACAATTCTAAGCATCCAGCTATATATATTCTGAAAGGTAATTGAATAAGCTTTCTAAATAATATTAGTAAAACTTGGCACAATCATATTAAAGGGGTGCGCTCTAATCCTAAACGTCGCCAATTATTCAATATTTTAAAGTGAAAGAACGGTAATATTCCGAGTCAAAATTAGAACCATCGTACAAAATTCTGAGCATCCAGCTATATATATATTCTGAAAGGTAATTGGATAAGCTTTCCAAATATTATTAGTAAAAGTTGGCACAATGATATTAGAGGGGTGCGCTCTCATCCTAAACGTCGCCAATTTTTCAATATTTTAAAGTGAAAGAACGGTAATATTCCGAGTCAAAATTCTGACCATCGTACAAAATTCTGAGCATCCAGCTATATATATTCTAAAAGGTGATTAAATAAGCTTTCCAAATATACTTAGTAAAATATGGCACAATCATATTAAAGGGGTGCGCTCTCATCCTAAATGTCGACAATTTTTCAATATTTTAAAGTGAAAGAACGGTAATTTTCCAAGTCAAAATTCGGACCATCGTACAAAATTCTGAGCATCTAGCTATATATATTCTAAAAGGTAATTGAATAAGCTTTCCAAATATTATTAGTAAAAGTTGGCACAATCATATTAAAGGGGCGCGCTCTCAACCTGAACATAATCAATTATTTCTCGTAAATTCTCACTTACGAGATTATGTGAATAGGACTGCGCAGCCGTACAAGATCATTGTACTGCTATTAGCCGAAGTGACAGGACGTGGTCTTGTTAACTTCAGTACTTTTTCTGATAGTTATTGACGCGGTCAATAAACTTTAGGTTTTCTATCAGTGGATGTGTGGCTAACGTGGTTAGTTACTTTAGATCGGTCGGTTTTTACGATCTCTTATTACACAGGACTTTTTTGGTTGGAGGTTATCCGCCATTTTGTTTTTCGCACGAGGTGCTTGATTTGTTTACGTCGCTGCTATGGCCGAGATTCAGGTTTCTCAGGACCAGTTGAAGGAAAAAACAAGGCCGTCTAGAAACTCGGTTAGTGGATCTAATAAAAGCGGAAGGAAAAAAGGTTTGAATTCCGATTCTCCTAAACAGTGCGATGTAACCGCTAACTCTTTGCCTGGTTGTAGTACCGGTAATAATAATGACAACGGCTCGACGAGTGTTTTTTCCAATTTTCTCGCTGCCTCGACATCGTCTAAATCGAAAGATGTTCAGTCTGCCGAGTCAAGTAATAATGATGTCCTGACGATTCTAAAATCCATTCAGGAGACCCAATCGGCTCAGAATTCTCGGTTTCAAAGACTATCGAATAAAGTTGATGATCTTTACTATGTCAATGATGACGATTATGAAAATGAGTTATTAGGCTATAATGATGATACAGATTATAATGAAGATGATCTAGAAGTTTTGCCTACAAAAAAGCCCAAATTATCAACAGACGCAGAACTTAGTAATTCTGTTTATGCTCTGGCAGGGGAAAAATTGAGAGTTAAAGATTTGTGTGACAAACCTATTAATCCAGACTTAGCATCGTTGATCGATAACTGGTTCAGAGACGGTGTAGAGGAGGACAGATATAATGAGTTAATTAAATCTATCTCTCGTCCTAAAAACTGTGAGTCTTTGGTGACTGTTAAAACCAACCAATTAGTGTGGGATTTTCTTAGTCAGTCTACACGTACGATGGACAAACGTATACAAAACGCACAAACTTCCATCATTAAAGGAGCAGTCTCTTTGGCTAAAGTTACAGAAGTCCTTGGTTGTGGACAACCTCTGGATGTTAACAACGTATTGGAGCAGGCTATGAAGTCCCTTGCTTTATTCGGACATGCCAATAAACAGTTGTGTTTGGTGCGTCGAGATATGATGAAACCCGATATGAGAGGGGAATATTTACATTTATGCAGTCAGAATTTCAAATATACAGATTGTCTATTTGGAGATGACATATCTAAAACAGTTAAGGATATCTCTGATTGCTCTCGTATTAGTAACAAGATAGGTGCTTACCTAGGTCGCGGAGGACGTGGAAGGTCTGTCCGTTGTAGAGGTAGATATTTTAGAGGCCATTTTCGTGGTCGTGGTTCTGGAGGTTCCTATGGATCATACAATTCAGACGCAAAAAACTACCAGAAGAGGGGTCAAGGTCGACCCCACTCCCAACAAGCTCAACAGAAGTAGTTTCTGAGGCAAGTATGAATGCCAGTAAGTTTCAAGCTGGCAGACTCTCTTTATATGAATATGCATGGGAGAATTTAACTTCAGATCACACAATTTTAGATATTGTTAAACATTGTACACTTCTATGGCTCAAGGGCTAGCAAGTGCGCCTCGAATATTTACTAAATTACTGAAACCTGTGTTTGCTACTCTTCGCCGTTTAGGCTTTGTCAATACTGCCTATATCGATGATTCTTTATTACTAGGCGATACAGTTGAAGAGTGTGAGGACAATATTTCTACAACTATTGCATTTGTAGAAGGTCTTGGATTTACAGTTAATTTTGAGAAATCTGTTCTCAAACCATCTAAAGTAATAGTTTTCTTAGGAAACATTATAAATTCTCATACAATGACAGTTACTCTTACAGAAGAGAGGAAGTCTCGTATTTTACTAGCCTGTAATCAGATTCTCAAATGTTCTACAGCAAAGATTAGGGATGTTGCTAAGGTCATAGGTTCTTTGGTTGCTTCTTTTTCAGCAGTCGAGCATGGGCCTTTGCATTATAGAAATTTAGAGAGAAATAAGGATAAGGCTCTAAAATATTCAGGCTTTAATTTTGATGCTACAATAGTCATTTCAGAGGATATGAAATCTGAAATTCAATGGTGGCTCACTAATTTACTAATATAGAGTTATTTCTCACAGAGACATTCATTTCACTGTTACCACAGATGCATCTATGTTAGGTTGGGGTGCTGAAAGTGACAATTTTAAAATAGGTGGTAGATGGAATTCATCAGAATCAAAATTTCATATTAATTATCTTGAATTACTTGCCGGATTTTATGGCTTGAGATCTTTTAATATCAACAATAAATTTTATGGTAAACATGTGAAAATATTACTGGATAATACTTCTGCTGTTTCTTATATAAACAATATGGGAGGTATCAATTCAGTATGTTGTGAAATGCTCGCAAAACAACTTTGGCAGTGGTGCATCGAGAATAATGTTTGGCTTACAGCGAGTCATATACCTGGTAAATCTAACGTTGCAGATATTGCTTCCAGGAAATTTGATGATCAAACTGAATGGATGTTAAATTCAGATATTTTCTCATGGATTGCTAGCTTATGGGGCTTACCAGATATTGACTTGTTTGCCTCAAGACTTAACTGTCAGATTAAAACCTTTTGTTCATGGAAACCGGATCCAGATGCATCTTTTATAAATGCTTTTACTTTTTCATGGCATGATTTTTATTGTTATTTAAATCCTCCTTTCAGCCTATTGAACCGTTGTGTTCAGAAGATACGTCAAGACAAGGCGAGATGTATTGTCGTAGCACCGATATGGCCAAGTCAACCTTGGTTCACAAGGTTACTCGAGTTGTTAATAGATGTTCCAGTGATTATTCAGCTCAAAAGGATCTTCTTGTTCAAGTGTCCAGCGGACAGCCTCACCCTCTTTGGAAAAATCTAAGTTTAATGACTTGTCATGTATCCGGAATCAATTCGGAAAACGAGGTTTTTCTGAACAGGCAACAACTGTCATCATGGCGTCTTGGAAGTCAGGGACCAAGAAACAGTATCAAGTCTACCATAAGAGATGGTTTCAGTACTGTCGTCAAGAACAGATTAATCCACTTTGCCCATCTATAGAAATTGTCATAAATTTTTTAGCGTCTCTTTTTTCTGCTGGCCTTGGATATAGTGCACTCAACACAGCCAGAGGGGCTCTTTCATCGTTAGGGCTTGTATTTGAGGGATTTACAGTGGGCTGTCATCCTCTGGTTATAAGATTTCTAAGAGGAGTATTTAATCTTAGACCTACTCAAGCGCGTTATACATGCATTTGGGATGTTGCTCCTGTCTTAAAATATTTGCAGAAGTTATCGCCTGTTGCGGAACTGTCGCTAAAAAATATAACATTGAAATTGGTGATGCTAATCGCTTTAATCTGTGCTTCAAGAATACAGTATCTTCATTGTTTGAAATTGTGTAATATGTTGAAGAGGAAATCTTCTTTTGTGTTCGTATTTACTGACGTATTGAAAGTTAGTAGGCCAAATTTTCATGTGCCTGAGTTTGTTTTGAACTCATATCCTCCAGATAGGAGACTTTGTGTATATACAGTTATGAAACAATATTTAGAACGAACTGAGAGGTTACGGGAAAATATGAATGGACGTCTGTTTATAAGTTACAGTACACTTCGAGCGGAAGTATGAAAATAGTCCTTGTGGGCGTTTTTTCCGCTCAAAAATCGCGGTGTTTTACCCATATACACTCCGCGGAATTAGAGACGTTCTGGGCGGAAAAAAGTCCGCGAAAATATAAAAATCGCGGTGGATTATCGCCCGCGAAAATATGAAATTCACGGCGGATTATAGTCGGTGGAAATATCAAATTCGCGGCGGATTATAGTCCATAGTGATTTGAAATAGTCTTGAGTAATTTAGTCCATATTGCCACAACGTTATTAGAAAGAAACAAATATTTAATGGAACGATATCATGAGTATATTAGTCGTTTTAGTTCACCGGTAATTCATATATTCATAATACTCTTTTCAAATTCCGTTTTGATTATTAACTAAAGTGTACCAATGTATTATTGTATTCATATCCTAAAATGTCCGTTATGTTCTATTCATTTATAATGTACATCTACATCGGTATTTAATTAGTGAATCACACCATAAAGCACATACACATAGCAATTTTCCATGTCATTAGTTGATCCGACAAGCAGACAATGAAACCATGTTTCGTGAATTCTGATAACAATGTCTAAAAATGGACGACAATAAACATATATAGAAGGTAGCGATTTGCACGTGGATGTTTTAAAATATGCTGTTTTTTTATATACTGATTTATTATCCGTTTTAATTATGAACAACAATTTATCGATATTCGTAGAAATAAACGAATTAGCATAAATTGCTAGGAAGGAATATTTTCTCCTTTAACGGTAATTCAATTAAAATGACGATTCGGCTCCCAACGTTCAATATATACATGTACTTTATGTCCCCAAAATTAAGTCATATTGGATAGAAGCTGGAAGATTGTTTACTTATTTCAGTTTCGTATTTGACTTTACAGATTCCCCATTCCCCACATTGCAAAACAGATCAACACGTCAAATCGTTTCAGTTACAGGTATAAGGCTTAAAAATATCATGTCTTAAATAGCCCCTTCAAATATTTCTTTTTATACTTTAACTTATAAATGCAACACACAAACTGCTTACCGTATTTATACAGTTGACGATAAATATCCTAAATAATAATCCAGTTCGGTTTCTTTCCAATGATTATCAATGAACATATCGAAGAACCTTTAATAAAACACCTAACAACCAGATCTTATGAATGGGATCTTGTCCGGACAGAACTTAGATTAATAGTAACTGATCAAAGAGTGAACATCAAACAGAACAAAGGAAATTGCCTAACAAAAAAGCATGCGTTAGTTATAAGGGATGATTTGTGTGCCAAATTAAAAATATTATCACAGAGAGGGGTTCACTAGTCCGCCGCTATAAGAAATACTATAATGTGGGTATCAATAAACCAACCCTAACTCAACCCTAATGATAGATATCGGTGGACTAATGAACCCTAACCCAACCCTAAAGAAAGACATCGGAACCCTAACCCTAACCTAACCCTAATTCATCGTAGCCTGTTAGTAATTTAGTTGTGACAACCGCACCTATTTAGTGTGAAAATCCAGTTTGTTCGCGTCCCAATTGTAATTATTCTTTATTAATGAGGTCAACTATTTTGGGTAATGATTACTTACTGACAATTCAGAATGAAAGTATTGTCTACAAGACTACGACATGGTAACAATTTGTTGTTAAAGGGGCTTCTATTATAGTCAATTATCAATTCCTTTTGATGACACGCTCGAATTCACGTAATTTGGAAACTTGATTGACAGTATGCATTGACTCAGACTCTTTGGTGCCGAAATGAATAGGTGATCATGGTATTATGTACATGTTTGCGTCAAGGTTGATGTTGACTTCTGGCGAGGTGTGCATTTAATTCATTTGTGATTTAAATCCGAAGATATAATACTTCAGGTGTGATTTACCGATTTACAATGCATTGTGAAACTTATTTGTCAGAATGGGAATGAATATTTTAATGGACAAAACTTTCGCCCACGGTAAGACCAACATCTATGTGTATAAATTTTGAAATTTTCGTAATTTGAACGAGTTTGAATGTCTTAAAAATGTCGAACATATTGATGAAGTAATGTATCGTACAGCCCTAACCCTGTTTATTATATTATATAAAAGCCTGCCAATTTTTTATATTTGTTATATTTTCAATGGAAGACAGCAAAATCTGCGTGTCTAACCGTGTTAAATTAACAATCTTTTTTTTGCATGCCGTATTAGCTGATATTCGAATACGATATGATGACTGCGGTGCAATTGCACTATAAATAAACCTAGCTATTTTAAAAGATCTACATGTATGGATGTGCTGACTGTACATGCATGGAAAGTCCGACTTAAAGGGGCACGGTGCGATATAAGGGATGGTTTTTGTGCCAAATTAAAAAAAATATCACCACCGGTTCAACGAATGATTTTAACAGAATATGTCACCTGCGAATATGATTTTTGTTATTTTTCAATATAAGCAAGTAAAATCTGCGTGTCTAACCGTGTTAAATTAACAATCTTTCTTTTGGCATGCCGATATTCGACTACGATATCACTGCCGTGGAATCGCACGATAAATAAACCCATTTCAAACCAGCTATGGATGTGCCGACTGTACATGCGTGGAAAGTCCGACATTTTAAAATTTCGCGGTGGGCGGCAGTTTAAAATAATCGCGGAGGTCGGCGGTTTATTTAAATTCGCGGAGGAATTTTGGAGCGGAATTTTGAGCGCGGCCAGAGCGGATTGATTAACTGACCTTCGCGATTTTTCATTTCCGCCCAGGTCGGACCTCGGGGAAATTTAGTACTTCCACTTGAAGTGTACTGTATATAAAACCTCATAATTGCGTTTCGCGGGATACTATTGCCAGGTGGCTAAAATGTGTTATGTACAGTGCAGGTGTTGATACTAGTGTTTTTACAGCTCATAGTGTGCGCTCTGCAGTTGTTTCTAGAGCGAAGTTGGGTAATGTGCCAATTAAAGATATCATGTCTAAAGCTGGTTGGACAAATGTGGGAACTTTCAGAAAATATTATGATAAACATGTTATTAATAATGAAGAGTTTTCTATCTCTGTATTAAAAGTTTGAAATTTTCCTTTGTTTTGCTTTAAAGATTCACATAATCTCGTAAGTGAGACTTTACAAGAAATAATTAGGAAATTAAACGAAACTTACCTTGGTTAAGTTGAAGTGTGATTCCAATTATTGGAGTAAAGAGGAATCACTATAGAGATTAGGTGCCTCCCTCCCTTTTCCCGGCATTCTAGGTCTCTAAAACAGTTTTTTCATTATATATACTATTCAAAAAAAGTAGGGGATGTTTGATTTTGCGGGCATAATACTAAAATATGCAAATGACTACGAAAAAAGTCACTATAGAACCTAACAGAAGAAACATTTCCAGTTACATGTGACGCCCAAACGCACCAATAGCTACCGCATGGAATGCAGGTGATGCTTGGGATCATCATGGGGGTCCAACCCAAGATTTGCACGACTCTGACTTTGAATTTTACAGTCATTGTGGCATTGAATTCCAGGGTGGAAACATCAGTTTAATTGTTTTAGTGACCAGAAAACAAATTTTGATATGCGTCGGCTTACCCAAAATGAAAGGTTACGTGCCCTTGGCATGCTACAGATCGGCACAACACAGGCGGTTGTGGCGCGGACGATGAATGTTTCTCAGTCTGTCATAAGCAGGCTATGGTCCAGATACCGTGATACACAATCTGTACAGGACAGACCATGCTCAGGTCGACCAAGGGCGACAACTCAAGCCCAGGATCGATTTATCCGTACCTTGGCCTTGAGAAATCGTGTCATCACAGCAAATCAGATCAGCGCTCGTCTTCAAACAGACACTGGTGTGAGAGTGAGTGGCCAGACGATTCGGAATCGACTGCATAGGGGTCACCTTCGCGCCCGACGTCCTCGCGTGATCCCTTGTTTGAGAGATCATCACATTCAGGCAAGACGTCGTTGGTGTAGGGATCGTCAACACTGGGATAATCGACGCTGGAGCAATGTGATGTTTTCAGATGAGTCAAGGTTCACTGTTGATTTTTAGGACAGACGTAGGAGGGTGTGGCGTCGTCAAAACGAGCGCTTCCAAGACGTTAACGTCATGAGACATGATCGATTTGGGGGTGGTTCTGTTATGGTGTGGGGAGGCATCACTGTTGCTGGAAGAACGGCTTTACATGTTGTTGCAGGGCGTGTTACAGGCCAGTACTACCGGGACAACATCTTGGCAGTCCATGTTGTGCCGTTCGCACGACGTCAGGGCAGCCGTTTCATCTTCCAGCATGACAACGCAAGATGTCACAGGGCCAGGATCGTTACAGGTTACCTCCAACAACAGAACATCACCACATTACCTTGGCCAGCACTGAGTCCCGACCTCTCCCCCATCGAGCATGTCTGGGACATGCTTGGACAGAGGTTACGTCAACGTCAACAACGTCCTGCCAATGTCCAAGAACTTGCTGCTGCGTTGCAACAGGAATGGGACAATCTGGACCAAAATGACCTTAGACGTCTCTTTAGGAGTATGCCACGTCGGATCAATGCTTGTTTGGCAAACAGAGGAGGATTTACCCGTTACTGACTTGGTTGTGATGCTGTGGTAACTTTGCTGTTTGACCCCGGGTATCATTTTACCCTTATAATGGTCAGTCTGTGCCTTACTTAGTCTAACGATCATTTGGAATAAATCGATGAATGTGAACTTCATTTCATTTTGTCATTTGTTTCTTCGTCAGTTTCATTAGGTGACTTTAATAACACTTAAAAATCAAATATCCCCTACTTTTTTTGAATAGTATATATTCCATTTGTTATCTAAACTTTGGAAAATTTTTATTTAAAGTATGATCTTGTGATTCCTCTTTACTCCAATAATTGGAATCACACTTCAACTTAACCAAGGTAAGTTTCGTTTAATTTCCTAATTTTTCAATATTCTAAATGCAAAGATAGACCGGTATTTTTTTCGAAGTCGAAATTCGGATCATTGTACAAAATTCTGAGAATCCAGCTATATATAATCTGAAAGGTAATTGAATAAGCTTTCTAAATATTATTAGTAAAAGTTGGCACAATCATATTAAAGGGGTGCACTCTCATCCTAAACGTCGTCTATTTTTCAATATTTTTAAAGTGAAAGAACAGTAATATTCTGAGTCAAAATTCGGACCATCGTACAAAATTCTGAGCATCCAGCTATATATATTCTAAAAGGTGATTAAATAAGCTTTCCAAATATACTTAGTAAAATATGGCACAATCATATTAAAGAGATGCGCTCTCATCCTAAACGTCGACAATTTTTCAATATTTTAAAGTGAAAGAACGGTAATATTCCGAGTCAAAATTCGGACCATCGTACAAAATTCTGGGCATCTAGCTATATATATTCTGAAAGGTAATTGAATAAGCTTTCCAAATATTATTAGTAAAAGTTGGCACAATCATATTAAAGGGGCGCGCTCTCAACCTGAACATAGCCCTTTTTTCAATATCCTAAATGCAAAGATAGGCCGGTATTTTTTTCGAAGTCGAAATTCGGATCATCATACACAATCCTAGGCATCCAGCTATATATATTCTGAAATGTAATTGAATAAGCTTTCTAAATAATATTAGTAAAAGTTGGCACAATCATATTAAAGGGGTGCGCTCTAATCCTAAACGTCGCCAATTATTCAATATTTTAAAGTGAAAGAACGATTATATTCTGAGTCAAAATTAGGATCATCGTACAAAATTCTGAGCATCCAGCTATAAATATTCTGAAAGGTAATTAAATAAGCTTTATAAATATTATTAGTAAAAGTTGGCACAATCATATTAAAGGGGTGCGCTCGCTCTCATCCTAAACGTCGCCAATTTTTCAATATTTTAAAGTGAAAGAACGGTAATATTCCGAGTAAAAATTCTGAGCATCGTACAAAATTCTGAGCATCCATCTATATATATTCTGAACGGTAATTGAATAAGCTTTTCAAATATTATTAGTAAAAGTTGGCACAATCATATTAAAGGGGTGCGTTCTCAACCTGAACATAGCCAATTTTTCAATTTCAAATAGCTGGTGATCGTCCTTTTTTTTCAAAAAATGTGGGAGGGAGGGAGTTTTTTTTTTTTTAATGAATATACAGAATAAGCAATATACTTCAGGAATATTAACCTTTTATTTCATGTCAAAACACAACTCATCTGCATGATCGTCATTTGAATTGTTCAGATTAATTATTTAAAGATATTCCGCCGTGGATTCAAAAGAGATTTATAACTGAACACTTATAGGTGGTGCCGACTGGTTTAATTGAATAGGGTAGGCCTCTATCATATGTGTGTAATTTCGACCACTTTAGATTTGACGTCATATATTTCGCCAACAACGCTTACCGTTAACAAGTATTATTTTGCTTGGCATTACTCAATTATCCAGGCTTAATTTGGAATTGAAACATGTACATGTATATGCGACCACGTTTGGGGGAAATTCGACCGCCATCAATTTGTAATTTACCGACTTGGGGGGAAATTCGACCTGGTCATGCTCATATGACATGCCCGTCTCGTCACAATTCCATATTCTGCATCTATGTTCTTTCAGGTCGATATCCGAAATTATTGCTCCAAGGTCTTGGAAATATTTATTGACTACTACTTTATTGAGCATTCGAGACATAGCTTTTCAGGTTTCGTAAAGTCACCTCTGGGAAGCGGCTTTTAAACCCCCTCCACCAGTCATTACCTGGAATACCTTTAGTAAATGGCGTTTTTGTAAATATATTTGTTTATCGGACGTACCGTGCAACTTTCAGCAGGAGTTGCTTTTTTTGTCACTCCGAAACCCTTTTCAGAAGCGTCCAAAACTTTTTTTACTATTTCCTCTTCAATTTTCCGGGGGAGGGCAGTCGGTTTACCCGGCACGGCATTCGGGCAAATCGTGCCTGACACATGATCAATTATTGTTGTTTTGGGGATATTAAATTTTTTGCTTGCCTTTCGGTATGATAGGCCGTTTCTTACTGATGTTACGGCGTCATCTAGAGTCTTTGAATCGTATCTCATATAGATATTTTTAGACTTGTGGGGCATCCTGAAATGTAAAACAAATGTTTATTTATTATCTATTAAACTTTGCCTATATATAAATTTTATAGCTTACACATAAATTATTAATAAATGTCCTTTATTTTCTAATTCATTTAAGGATTATTTTCCTCAAGAGTAGATTAATAATAAATAAATATTTTACATATTACGATTATTTTCCCAAAATTACTAAATTAATATTCAAAATACACTATAATTATAATATGATATTTAAAATTTATTACTATTGTAATTATTAATTATCGGTAAAAATGTAACATTTAATAAATAAAATGCATGATCATAAGGCAGGTCGAATTTCCCCCACCCCCCAAAAGTAAGTTGGTCATAATTCTACCACTTGACCATTTTTGTCATAAAACTGAATTAAAATTTTTTTTTTGATTAAAAATTATTCCGGTTACATCCCACTTACGAATCTAAACCATACAAATCAATAAAATGACCCTAATATTTACCTGTTGATATATGATTGGTCATTGTACTCGATGGTGGGCGTTGAACAAACTTGACAGACACTGTGACAGAATGCGATGCTCCTACACGATAGGCCTGACGTCAACTTAGCGGTAAACAAAGATAGCGATTTCTGATTGGGTGCAAATATCACGTGACAAATAACGTGATCAGAACAATAACAAAGCACATTATCCAGGCGGAAAAGCAAATGTCGGTCGACATAACAGTTCAGACACGCTTTTTGTAAGCGGTCGAAATTAGACCTTGGGTCGAAATTACACACATATACCCTATCATCCAAAATCTTCGACGTTGAAAACACAAATTATTTGTCAATTTAAATCAACTTTGATTTTGTGATCTTACCGGGAAAAGATGGGCTTCTGATATCCAATATTTAAGACAAAATAAACATTTTAGCATTGGTACACGAATCGTGTACCATAATGCGTTTCAGGCCCATTCTAACAAGGGACTCGAAGAACGAGGCTAGACATTCA